TGCTAATTACTGATAAATAGTCGTCCTGGGTATAACGATAAACTACATCCGGCGGCAAGGACTCTGATCGGGGAGTTTTGAAGAGCGTAGAACCACCTCTTAATTGCTGATCTCAGGTCCGCCCTGACCCGGGGGGGGGGAGTGATAGAACCTGTCGGGGACTCAGATATGGGCAAATTGTTAACTCCCAAACTGGGGTCAAAATACTACGAATGTATAAAAATAGATTATTTTTAAAAATATAAGCAATATATTTCTGGAAAAAAAATATTAACATTAATATATTTTTGAAAAAAATAAAATATATTACCAGCAATACATTTTTGTTTTATTTTTTAGGTTTTTTTTTTTTTTTTTTGAAAACAACAAAAATATTGCGATGAATACATTTTAGAAAAATATATATATATATATAACTAGCAATTGATTTAACTCTCGGGAAAAACCCTCTTTACAAAAATATGTCAATGGAACCTCATCTACAAACAGATTTCTTACAAAGATTACATATTCTATTCATACGAAACTATCCTAAAAACCTTGTCGGTATTAAATAACCCATTGAGGTGTTGATATGCCGTAAAACAAAATAAACTAAAACCCTGGTCTACAAACTGACTTCTTACATAGAATGCATATTATATTCATACGAAGCTATCCTAAAAATCTTGCCGGCATTAAATAACCCATTGATGTGTTGATATGCCGTAAAACAAAATAATCCCAAACCCTGATCTTACAAAGTATACATATTCTATTCATACAAAACGATCCTAAAAATCTTGTCGGCATTAAATTACCCATTGAGGTGTTGATATGCCGTAAAACAAAATAATCCCAAACCCTGATCTACAAACTGATTTCTTACAAAGAATACATATTCTATTCATACGAACCTATCCTAAAAATCTTGCCGGCATTAAATAAACCATTGAGGTGTTGATATGCCGTAAAAGAAAATAAACCAAACCAAACAAAACTGACAAAAAGGCCTCTGCAGCCATTATAAAGTAAAAGGTCAAAGGTCAGTGGTCAGGGCTCAGAGGTCAGAGGCACAGTCTATGGGGATGCATGTATACCCGGGTTTTATTCTTGATTACCATTCCTGATGATGTTGAAATATTTCATATGGTGATGTTAATTTTTAACTGATAGACACTTTGATATAAACAGTGTGTGTTGCATTGTAAAAACATTTTGGCATGTTTGCAAACATTGTTAAAGAAGGTAAATTTTGGATTTTTTTTTAATATGGTACCTATGTAGGTATGTAATTGTGTTGGGAATTGGGATTATTTCCTATAATATCTACTTCAAATTGATAAATATTTCTTTCTTCCTCTTCTCTACTTCATTATTCCTTCTTACATTTTTTAACATTTACATTCTTTTCCCTTTCTCTTCTTGACGTATTTTTTCCCTTTTTCTTTCTTTCTTTCTTTCTTATTTTATCTTCTTTTTTTTGGTGGGGTGGTGGCATCTGGGTTCTATTTTCGCTTTTCATTCATTCATTTTTTTTCTTTCTTTTCATCGACAAATTCTTCACCATTCATCCTCCTTTCCTTCTTTTATTTTCGCATTTATTTTCATTCATTCATTTTTTCTTTCTTTTCATCGACAAATTCTTCACCATTCATCCTTCTTTTATTTTCGCATTTATTTTCATTCATTCCTTTTTTCTTTCTTTTCATCGACAAATTCTTCACCATTCATCCTCCTTTCCTTCTTTTATTTTCGCATTTATTTTCATTCATTCATTTTTCTTTCTTTTCAACGACAAATTCTTCACCATTCATCCTCCTTTCCTTCTTTTATTTTCGCATTTATTTTCATTCATTCCTTTTTTCTTTCTTTTCATCGACAAATTCTTCACCATTCATCCTCCTTTCCTTCTTTTATTTTCGCATTTATTTTCATTCATTCATTTTTTCTTTCTTTTCAACGACAAATTCTTCACCATTCATCCTCCTTTCCTTCTTTTATTTTCGCATTTATTTTCATTCATTCCTTTTTTCTTTCTTTTCATCGACAAATTCTTCACCATTCATCCTCCTTTCCTTCTTTTATTTTCGCATTTATTTTCATTCATCCATTTTTTTTCTTTTCATCGACAAATTCTTCACCATTCATCCTCCTTTCCTTCTTTTTATTTTCGCATTTATTTTCATTCATTCATTTTTTTTTTCTTTTCATCGACAAATTCTTCACCATTTATCCTCCTTTTCCTTCTTTTATTTTCGCATTTATTTTCATTCATTTTTTTTTTTCTTTCTTTTTTCATCGACAAATTCTTCACCATTCATCCTCCTTTCCTTTTTTTTTTTTATTTATTTTCATTCATTCATTTTTTCTTTCTTTTCAACGACAAATTCTTCACCATTCATCCTCCTTTCCTTCTTTTATTTTCGCATTTATTTTCATTCATTCATTTTTTCTTTCTTTTCAACGACAAATTCTTCACCATTCATCCTCCTTTCCTTCTTTTATTTTCGCATTTATTTTCATTCATTCATTTTTCTTTCTTTTCAACGACGAATTCTTCACCATTCATCCTCCTTTCCTTCTTTTATTTTCGCATTTATTTTCATTCATTCCTTTTTTCTTTCTTTTCATCGACAAATTCTTCACCATTCATCCTCCTTTCCTTCTTTTATTTTCGCATTTATTTTCATTCATTCATTTTTTCTTTCTTTTCATCGACAAATTCTTCACCATTCATCCTCCTTTCCTTCTTTTATTTTCGCATTTATTTTCATTCATTCATTTTTTCTTTCTTTTCATCGACAAATTCTTCACCATTTATCCTCTTTTCCTTCTTTTATTTTCGCATTTATTTTCATTCATTCCTTTTTTTTCTTTCTTTTTTATCGACAAATTCTTTTTATTCATCCTCCTTTTTTCTTTTTTATTTTTCGCATTTATTTTTCATTCATTCATTTTTTTTTTTCTTTTCAACGACAAATTCTTCACCATTCATCCTCCTTTTTCCTTCTTTTTTTTCGCATTTATTTTCATTCATTCATTTTTTTTTCTTTTCATTTCGACAAATTCTTCACCATTCATCCTCCTTTCCTTCTTTTATTTTCGCATTTATTTTTCATTCATTCATTTTTTTCTTTCTTTTCATCGACAAATTCTTCACCATTCATCCTCCTTTCCTTCTTTTTTTATTTTTTATTTATTTTCATTCATTCATTTTTTCTTTCTTTTCATCGACAAATTCTTCACCATTCATCCTCCTTTCCTTCTTTTATTTTCGCATTTATTTTCATTCATTCATTTTTTCTTTCTTTTCAACGACAAATTCTTCACCATTCATCCTCCTTTCCTTCTTTTATTTTCGCATTTATTTTCATTCATTCATTTTTCTTTTTTTTTTCATCGACAAATTCTTCACCATTCATCCTCCTTTCCTTCTTTTATTTTTCGCATTTTATTTTCATTCATTCATTTTTCTTTCTTTTCATCGACAAATTCTTCACCATTCATCCTCCTTTTCCTTCTTTTATTTTCGCATTTATTTTCATTCATTCATTTTTCTTTCTTTTCATCGACAAATTCTTCACCATTCATCCTCCTTTCCTTTTTTTTTTTTTTTTATTTTCATTCATTCATTTTTTTTTCTTTTTCAACGACAAATTCTTCACCATTCATCCTCCTTTTCTTCTTTTTTTTTTCGCATTTATTTTCATTCATTCATTTTTTCTTTTTTTTTCAACGACGAATTCTTCACCATTCATCCTCCTTTCCTTTTTTTATTTTCGCATTTATTTTCATTCATTCATTTTTTCTTTCTTTTTCAACGACAAATTCTTCACCATTCATCCTTTTTTTTCTTTTATTTTCGCATTTATTTTTCATTCATTCATTTTTTCTTTCTTTTCAACGACAAATTCTTCACCATTCATCCTCCTTTTCCTTCTTTTTTTTTTCGCATTTATTTTCATTCATTCATTTTTTGTTTTTTTTTTTTTATCGACAAATTCTTCACCATTCATCCTTCTTTTATTTTCGCATTTTATTTTCATTCATTTTTTTTTTCTTTCTTTTCATCACAAATTCTTCACCATTCATCCTCCTTTCCTTCTTTTATTTTTTTTTTTTATTTTCATTCATTCATTTTTTCTTTCTTTTCAACGACAAATTCTTCACCATTCATCCTCCTTTCCTTCTTTTTTTTCGCATTTATTTTCATTCATTCCTTTTTTTTTCTTTTCATCGACAAATTCTTCAAAATTCATCCTCCTTTTCATTCTTTTATTTTCGCATTTATTTTCATTCATTCCTTTTTTCTTTCTTTTCATCGACAAATTCTTCACCATTCATTCTCCTTTCCTTCTTTTATTTTCGCATTTATTTTCATTCATTCATTTTTTTTTTTCTTTTTCAACGACAAATTCTTCACCATTCATCCTCCTTTTTCCTTTTTTTTTTTTTCGCATTTTTTTCATTCATTCCTTTTATCTTTCTTTTGCATTGACAAATTCTTCACCATTCATCCTCCTTTTTTTCTTTTTTATTTTCGCATTTATTTTTCATTCATTCCTTTCCTTTTTCTTTCTTTTTCATCGACAAATTCTTCACCATTCATCCTCCTTTCCTTCTTTTATTTTTTCGCATTTATTTTCATTCATTTTTTTTTTTTTTTTTTTCATCGACAAATTCTTCACCATTCATCCTCCTTTCCTTCTTTTATTTTTTAATTTATTTTTATTCATTTTCTTTTTTTCTTTCTTTTCATCGACAAATTCTTCACCATTCATCCTCCTTTCCTTCTTTTATTTTCGCATTTATTTTCATTCATCCATTTTTTTTTCTTTTCAACGACAAATTCTTCACCAGTCATCTTTCATTCCTTCTTTTATTTTCGCATTTATTTTCATTCATTAATTTTTTCTTTCTTTTCACCGACAAATTCTTCACCATTCATCCTTCTTTCCTTCTTTTATTTTCGCATTTATTTTCATTCATTCAAATTTCTTTCTTTTCATCGAAAAATTTTGTTTTTTCATCCTCCTTTCTTCTTTTTTTTTTCGCATTTATTTTCATTCATTCATTTTTTTTTTTCTTTTCAACGACAAATTCTTCACCATTCATCCTCCTTTCCTTCTTTTTTATTTTCGCATTTATTTTCATTCATTCATTTTTCTTTCTTTTCATCGACAAATTCTTCACCATTCATCCTCCTTTTATTTTTTTATTTTCGCATTTATTTTCATTCATTTCCTTTTTTCTTTCTTTTCAAACAAATTCTTCAATTCATTTTTTTTCTTTTATCCTCCTTTTTTTCAATTCATTTTTTCTTTTTTTTTCGCATTTTCACATTTCATTTTTCATTCTTTTATTTTCGCATTTTTTTTTCTTTTTTTCAACTTTATGAAATTCTTTCACCATTCATCCTCCTTTCCTTTTTTTTTTTTTTTCAACGCATTTTATTTTCATTCATTCCTTTTTTTTTTCTTTATTTTTCATCGACAAATTCTTTTTTTTTTTCCATTCATCCTCCTTTTTCTTCTTTTTTTTTCGCATTTATTTTCATTCATTCATTTTTTTTCTTTTTCAATGACAAATTCTTCACCATTCATCCTTTCAAAAGAGGAATTTTTTATTTTTTTATTTTCATTCATTCATTTTTTTCTTTCTTTTCAAAACGACAAATTCTTCACCATTCATCCTCCTTTCCTTCTTTTATTTTCGCATTTATTTTCATTCATTCCTTTTTTCTTTCACCCGAATCGACAAATTCTTCACCATTCATCCTCCTTTTTCTTTTATTTTCGCATTTATTTTCATTCATTCATTTTTTTCTTTTTTTTCAACGACAAATTCTTCACCATTCATCCTTCATTTTCCTTCTTTTATTTTTTCATTTATTTTCATTCATTCAATTTTTTATTTCTTTTCATCCCGACAAATTCTTCACCATTCATCCTCCTTTCCTTCTTTTATTTTCGCATTTATTTTCATTCATTCCTTTTTCTTTCTTTTTTCATCGACAAATTCTTCACCATTCATCCTCCTTTTTTTTTTTTATTTTTCGCATTTATTTTCATTCATTCCTTTTTCTTTCTTTTCATCAACAAATTTTTTTTTTCATTTTCGCTTTCCTTCTTTTATTTTCGCATTTATTTTCATTCATGCATTTTTTTTCTTTTCATCGACAAATTCTTCACCATTCATCCTCCTTTCCTTCTTTTATTTTTCGCATTTATTTTCATTTTATTTTTTTTTTTTCTTTCATCGACAAATTCTTTTCATTCATCAAATTTTCTTCTTTTATTTTTTTTTTTTTTTTCATTTTTTTTTTTTTTTTTTCATTTCATTCCAATTCTTCACCATTCATCCTCCTTTCCTTTTTTTTCGCATTTATTTTCATTCATTCCTTTTTCTTTCTTTTCATCGACAAATTCTTCATAAATTCATCCTTTTTCCTTCTTTTTTTCGCATTTTTTTTTGTTTTTTTTTTTTTTCTTTCATTTCATTTATTTTCGCAAATTCTTCACCATTCATCCTCCTTTCCTTCTTTTTATTTTCGCATTTATTTTTCATTCATTCATTTTTCTTTCTTTTCAAAAACAAATTCTTCACCATTTTATCCTCCTTTTCCTTCTTTTATTTTCGCATTTATTTTCATTCATTCATTTTTTTCTTCTTTTTCATCGAAAATTCTTCACCATTCATCCTCCTTTCCTTCTTTTATTTTTTCGCATTTTCATTCATTCATCATTTTTTTTTCTTTTCAACGACAAATTCTTCACCATTTATTCCTCCTTTTGAATTCTTTTATTTTTTCGCATTTATTTTCATTTATTCATTTTTTTGCATTCTTTTCATCGGACAAATTCTTCACCATTCATTTATTTTTTCCTTCTTTTTATTTTTTCTTTTTATTTTCATTCATTCCTTTTTCTTTCTTTTTTTCGACATTTTTTCAATTTTCATCTTCACCCATTCATCCTTCTTTTTCTTTTTTTATTTTCGCATTTATTTTCATTTTTCATTTTTTTTCTTTCTTTTTCATCGACAAATTCTTCACCATTCATTCATTTTTTCCTTCTTTTTATTTTCGCATTTATTTTCATTCATTCATTTTTTTTTTATTTTTCATCGACAAATTCTTCACCATTCATCCTCCTTTCCTTCTTTTATTTTTCGCATTTATTTTCATTCATTCATTTTTTCTTTTTTCATCGACAAATTCTTCACCATTCATCCTCCTTTCCTTTTTTTATTTTCGCATTTTATTTTCAATTCATTCCTTTTTCTTTCTTTTTTCATCAACAAATTCTTTTTTTCATTTTATTTTTCCATTTATCTTTTATTTTTCTTTTTTATTTTTCAAAGAGTTTTTTTTTTTTTTTTTTTCATCTTTTATTTTCAATTCTTTTTTCATCCTCCTTTCCCTTCTTTTTTTTTTTTTTTTTTTTTTTTTTTTTCATTTATTTTTTCTTTCTTTTCATCGACAAATTCTTCAAAATTCATTTGTTTTTTTTTTTATTTTCGCATTTATTTTCATTCATTCCTTTTTCTTTCTTTTCAAAAAATTCTTTTTCATTTTTTTTTTTATTTTTTATTTTCGCATTTATTTTCATTCAGTTTCCTTTTTTTTTCTTTTTTTTTTTTATTTCCGCTTTATTCATCCTCCTTTTCTTCTTTTATTTCCAAAAAACGGATTTTTTTTCATTTTTTTTTCTTTCTTTTCAACGATGGATTTCTTGAACATTCATCCTCCTTTTGTTATTTTTTTTTCGCATTTCCGCTTTTATTCATTGTTTTTTTTCTTTTCATCGACAAATTCAAAACGTTCATTTTTTTTTTTTTTTCGCATTTATTTTCGCATTATCAATTTTTCTTTCTTTCATGAACAAATTCTTCACCATTCATTTCCTTTTTTTTTTTTATTTTCGCATTTATTTTCATTCATTCATTTTTCTTTCTTTTTTCAAAAAAAGAGGATTTGTTTTTTTTTTCTTTTTATTTTCGCATTTATTTTTTCATTCATTTTTTTCTTTTCTTTTCAAAATTCTTTTTGTTATTTTTTTATTTTCGCTTTATTTCATTGTGAATTCTTTTTTTTCATCCTTTTTTTTTTTTTTTTATTTTCGTATTATTCATTATCCTTCCTTTTTTTTTCGCAAAGGGAATTTGTTATTTTTTTTCTTTTCAACGCTTTCTTCAATTGTTCATCCTCCTTTCCTTCTTTTTTTTTTTATTATTTTTTTTTCATTTTCCTTTTTTCTTTCTTTTCATCGAACAATTCTTCACCATTCATTTTTCCTTTTTTTATTTTCGCATTTATTTTCATTCATTCCTTTTCTTTCTTTTCATCCAAAAATTCTTCACCATTCATTTTTTTTTTTCTTTTTATTTTCGCATTATCATTTTGGATTTCATTTTTTCTTTTTTTCAAAGACAAATTCTTCATTTTTTTATTTCCGCTTTATGAATTTTATTTCGTCACAGTTTCCAAAACATTCCTTTTTTTTTTTTTTTTTTTATTTTCTTCATTATCAATTATGGATTTCTTTTTTAGTTTCAAAAAGGAATTTTGTTATTTTTTTTTCTTTCCGCTTTATTCATTGTCAATTTCCTTCCTTCCAAAAAACGCATTTATTTTTTTTTTCATTTTTTTTTCTTTTCAATTATGGATTTCTTGAACATTCATCCTTCTTTTCCTTCTTTTATTTTTTTATTTTTTTTATTCATTTTTATGAATTTTTCTTTTCATCGACAAATTTTTCTAAAACGGAATTTTTTTTTTTTTTTTTTTGCATTATCAATTTTTTTTTTCTTTTCAACGACAGTTTCTTCAAAAAAGGAATTTGTTATTTTTTTTTTCCGTTTATGAATTGAATTTATTTTCATTCAAAAACGGGAATTTTTTTTTTTTTCATTTTTATTTTCTTCACCATTCATCCTCCTTTCCTTTGTTTTTTTTTTATTTCCGCTTTATGAATTGTGAATTTTCTTTCAGTTTCCAAAAAACGGGAATTGTTTTTTTTCATTTTTATTTCCTTTATCAATTTTGGATTTATTTTCATTTCCATTTTTTTTTTTTTCATTTTTAAATTTTCAATTTCATCCTCCTTTTTCTTTTTTGTTTTTTTTTTTTTTTTTCATTTTTTTTTCTTTTATGGATTTCATCGACAAATTTTCCCAAAAAGGTTTTTGTTTTTTTTTCGCATTTATTTTTCATTTATTCCTTTTTTCTTTCTTTTCATCGACAAATTCCTTCAAATTCATTCCTTTTTTTTTTTTTATTTTCGCATTATCAATTTCATTCATTCAAAAGGGTTTTGTTTTTTTTTATTTCCGCTTTATGAATTGTTTTTTTTCTACACATTTCCAAAACGGGAATTGTTTTTTTTTTTTTTTATTTTTGCATTTAATTTTCATTCATGAACAGTTTCCTTTTTTTGTTTCTTTTTTTATTTCCGACAAATTCTTCACCATTTCATACACAGTTTTTTAAACGGGAATTTATTTTTTTTTCCTTTTTTTTTTTTTTTCAATTATGGATTTTCATGAACAGTTTTCAAAACTCCTTTCCTTATTTGTTATTTTTTTTATTTTCATTTTATTTCTTTCTTTCATACACAAATTTCCAAAAACGGGATTGTTTTTTTTTCTTTTTATTTTCGCATTTAATTTTCATTTCATGAACAGTTTCTTTTTCATTTGTTATTTTTTTTTCTTCCGCTTTATCCTCCTTGAATTTTTATTTTTCCAAAAACGGGAATCATTTTTTTTTTTTTCATTTTTTCATTATCAATTTCTTTTCCATTCAACAGTTTCCTTCTTTTATTTTTTGTTATTTTTATTTCCGCTTTTCTTTCTTTTCATCGACAAATTCTTTCCAAAAATCCTCCTTTTTTTTTTTTATTTTTTTTTCGCATTATCAATTTTTCATTTCATGAACAGTTTCTTTCTTTTCATTATTTTTTTTTATTTCACTTTATCAATTGTTTCCTTCTTTTAGTTTCCAAAAACAGGATTCATTTTTTTTTCTTTTATTTTCATTATCAATTATGGATTTCATGAACAGTTTCCTAAAAAAGGGTATTTGTTATTTTTTTTTTTTATTTTGAATTGTGAATTTTCACAGTTTCCAAAAACTTTTTTTTTTTATTTTCATCGCATTATCAATTATGGATTTCATCCTCCTTTCCTTCTTTTTATTTTGTTATTTTTTCATTCCGCTTTTTTTGTTTCTTTCATCGCCCATTTTCAAAAACGGGAATTGTTTTTTTTTTTTTTATTTTTTCGCATTTTCAATCATGGATTTCATGAACTTTTCATCGAAGGAATTGTTATTTTTTTATTTCCGCCTTATGAATTTTAATTTTCGCACACATTTTCAAAACGGGAATTGTTTTTTTTCTTTTTTTTTTCATTATCAATTTCTTTTCATCCAGTTTCCTTCTTTTATTTTCGCATTTTTTTCATTCATTTCTTTTTTTGTTTCTTTTCATCAACAAATTCTTCAAAAAAAATCTCCTTGTTTTTTTTTTTTTTTTATTTTCGCATTATTTATTTTCATGAACAGTTTTTCTTTCTTTTCATTTTTATTTTTTTCTTATTTTCGCTTTATGAATTCCTTTTCGTACACATTTTTCAAAAATTTTCAATTGTTTTTTTTTTTTTTATTTTCGCATTATCAAATTATGGATTTCATGAACAGTTTCCTAAAATTTATTTGTTATTTTTTTTTTTTCGCTTTATTTCATTGTGAATTTTTTTCTTTCAGTTTCGACAAAAAAGGGAATTGTTTTTTTTTCCTTTATTTTCGCATTATCAATCATTCATTTCATTTTTTCTTTCCTTTCATCGGGTATTTGTTATTTTTTTATTTCCGCTTTATTTTGAATTTTCGCACACAGTTTTCAAAACAATTGTTTTTTTTTTTTTTTTTCGCAAATCAATTATGGATTTCATCCTCAGTTTCTTTTAAAAGGGTATTTGTTTTTTTTTTTTCTTTTTATTTGTTTTTCATCGACAAATTTTCAAAAAATCCTCCTTTTTTTTTTTATTTTCATTTTTATTTTATTCATTCCTTTTTCATGAACAGTTTCCTAAAAGGGAATTTGTTATTTTTTATTTTCGCTTTATTAATTTTTCGCATTTCACACATTTCCAAAACGGAATTTTTTTTTTTTTTTTTTTTTTCGCATTATCAATTATGGATTCATCCTCAGTTTCCTTCTTTTTTTTGATTTTGTTTCATTTTTTTTTTTCGCTTTATCAATTGTGAATTTCTTAACCACAGTTTCCAAAAACGGGAATTTTTTTTTTTTTATTTTTATTTTTTTCATTATTTTTCTTTGGATTTCATGAACAGTTTCCTAAAATTCATCCTCTTTGTTATTTTTTTATTTTCGCTTTTATTTTGTATTTTCGTTCCAGTTTTTTCTTTCTTTTTTTTTTTTTTTTTTTTCCATTATCAATCCTCCTTTCCTTCTTTTAGTTTCCTAAAAATTATTTTTATTTTTTTTTTCTTTTTATGAATTGTGAAATTCTTCACCATTTCCTCCAAAAACGGGAATTGTTTTTTATTTTTTATTTTTTTTTTTTTTATCAATTTTGGATTTTTCATCGAACAGTTTCCTCAAAAGGAATTTGTTATTTTTTTTATTTCCTTTATTTTTGAATTTTTTAGTTTCCAAAACGGAATTTTTTTTTTTTCATTTTATTTTCGCATTATCAATTTTGGATTTTGAACAGTTTCCTAAAAGGGTATTTGTTATTTTTTTTTTTTTCATGAATTCTTCAATTTCCTCCTTTCCTTCTTTTAAAAACGGGAATTGTTTTTTTTTTTTTTTCTTTTTTTCATTATCAATTCTGGATTTCATGAACAGTTTCCTAAAAATTATTTTGTTATTTTTTTTTTTTCGCTTTTTGAATTGTGAATTTCGTACAAATTCTTCAAAATTCATCCTTTGTTTTTTTTTTTTTATTTTCGCATTATCAATTCATTTCATTTTTCAGTTTTTTCAACGGAATTTGTTTCACCTTTTTTTATTTTCGCTTTTCAATTGTTTTCATAACCCATTTTTCAAAAACGGAATTTTTTTTTTCTTTTTTTCATTTTTGCATTATCAATTCTTTTCATGAACAGTTTCCTAAAAAGAATTTGTTGTTTTTTTTTCGCAATTTAATTTTCATTTTCAAAAAACGAGAATTTTTTTTTTTTTTTTTTTTCGCATTATCAATTATGGATTTCATAAACAGTTTCCTTTTCCAGGAATTTTCGTTATTTTTTTTTTATTTTCGCTTTATCAATTTCTTTCTTTTCATACAAATTTTTCAAAAATCAATTGTTTTTTTTTTTTTTTTATTTTCGCATTATCAATTTTGGATTTCATGAACAGTTTCTTCGAAGGAATTGTTATTTTTTTATTTCCTTTATCAATTGTGAATTCGTTTTCATTTCCAAAAAAAGTTTTTTTTTTTTTTTTATTTTCGCATTATCAATTATGGATTCATCCTCAGTTTCCTTCTTTTAATTTGTTATTTTTTTTTCATTTTTCAATTTTTTTTCTTTTCATTTCAAAAAGCAGGGTTTTTTTTTTTTATTTTCGCATTTCAATCTTTTATTTTCGAACAGTTTTCATTCATTTTTTTTTTTTTTTTTTCATCTTTATGAATTGTTCATTCGTACACAGTTTTTAAAACGGAATTTATTTTTTTTTTTTTATTTTTTCATTATCAATTATGGATTTCATGAACATTTTCCTAAAAAGGGAATTTTTTTTTTTTTTTATTTTCATTCATTCTTTATTAATTGTGAATTTCGTACACAGTTTCCTTCAAGGGAATTTTTTTTTTTTATTTTTATTTTCGCATTTTCAATTATGGATTTCATAAACAGTTTCTTTTTTTGTTATTTTTTTTTTATTTTCCTTTATCAATTGTTTAATTTCGTACACAGTTTCCAAAAAACAGAATTTTTTTTTTTATTTTTTTTTTGCATTATCAATTATGGATTTCTTGAACAGTTTCCTTCCTTCTTTGTTATTTTTTTTATTTTCATTCATTTATTTTCTTTCTTTTCATCGTACAAAGTTTCACCATTCATTTTTTTTTATTTTTATTTTTCGCATTTAATTTCATTTCATGAACAGTTTTTCTTTCTTTTCATATTTTTTTTTCATTTCCGCTTTAAAAATTTTTATTTTCGTTTTTATTTTTTTTTTTTTATTTTTTTTCGCATTATCAAATTCTTCATTTCATCCTCAGTTTCTTTTAATGGAATTTTCGCATTTTTTTTCATTCGCTTTTTCAATTGTGAATTTTCATCGTACAAAGTTTCCAAAACGGAATCCTCCTTTTTTTTTAATTTTATTTTCGCATTTATCAATTATTTTTCATTCATTTTCTTTTTCTTTCTTTTTTTTTTTATTTTCGCAAATTCTTCACCATTCATCCTCCTTTCCTTCGGAATTTTTTTTTTCGCATTTATTTTCATTCATTTCTTTTTTCTTTCTTTTCATCGGAATTTGTTACCATTTTTATTTTCCTTCTTTTTATTTTCGCATTTATTTTCATTTATTTTTTTTTTTTTCTTTTCATTATCAAATTCTGGATTCATCCTCAGTTTCCTTCTTTTAATTTTCGCATTTTTTTTATTTTATTCCTTTTTTCTTTCTTTTCATCACAGTTCTTCAAACATTTTCCTTTTTCCTTTTTTATTTTCGCATTTATTTTTATTCATTTCATTTTTCAGTTTCTTTTCATTTGACAAATTCTTTACCATTCATCCTCCTTTTCCTTCTTTTATTTTTCGCATTTATTTTTTTTCATTTTTATTTTCTTTCTTTCAATTCAGATTTCTTTTTTCGAAAACGGGTATTTCCTTTCCTTTTTTTATTTTCGCATTTTTTCAATTCATTTCTTTCATTTCTTTTTTTCATCGACGGAATTTTTTTTTTTTTTTTATTTTCGCATTTCAATTTTTTATTTCATGAACATTTTCATTCATTTATTTTTTTTTCTTTTCATCGACAAATTCTTCATTTTCATCCTAAAAATCCTTCTTTTATTTTTTATTTTTATTTTCATTCAAATTTTTTTCAGTTTCTTTCAATGGAAATTTTTATTTTTTTTCTCCTCCTTTCCTTCTTTTATTTTCGCATTTATTTTCAAATTGGGAACTTTTTTTTCTTTTTTTCGACAAATTCTTCATTTTCATCCTTTCCTTTCTTTTAAAAAAAGATTTATTTTTTTTTTTCATTTTTCTATTCTTTTCATCGACAAATTTTTCAATTCATCCTCCTTTCCTTCTTTTTATTTTCGCATTTATTTTCATTCATTCATTTTTTTTTTTTTTTTATTTCATTTCTTGTGAATTCTTCCTTCATTCACAGTTTCCTTTCCTTCAGAATTTTTTTTTTTTTTTATTTTTGCATTTCAATTTATTTTTTCATGAACAAATTCTTTTTTTCATTTTTTTTTTTATTTTCGCATTTATTTTCATTCATTTCCATTTTCTTTTTTTTCATTTCCAAAAACAGGGATTTTTTTTTTTTATTTTTATTTTCGCATTCATTTCATTTTTTTTTCTTTTTTTTCATCGACAAATTCTTTTTTATTCATCCTCCTTTCCTTCTTTTATTTTCGCATTTATTTTCATTCATTTCTTTTTTATTTCTTTTTATCGACAAATTTTCACCATTCATCCTCCTTTCCTTCTTTTATTTTCGCATTTATTTTTTCATTTTCCATTTTTTCTTTCTTTTCATCTTTAAATTCTTCACCATTCATCCTCCTTTTTTTTTTTTTTTTTCGCATTTATTTTCATTCATCCTTTTTTTCTTCTTTTATTTTTTTTTTCTTTCATCGATTTCTTTTCATCACCATTCATCCTCCTTTTTTCTTTTTATTTTCGCATTTATTTTCATTCATTCATTTTTTTTTCTTTCTTTTCATCAACAAATTCTTCACCATTCATCCTCCTTTTCCTTCTTTTATTTTCGCAAACGTGAAACTTTTTCATTTTTATTTTTTCTTTCTTTTCATCGACAAATTCTTCAAATTCATCCTCCTTTCCTTCTTTTTATTTTCGCATTTATTTTCATTCATTCATTTTTTCTTTCTTTTCATCGACAAATTCTTCACCATTCATCCTCCTTTCCTTTTTTTATTTTCGCATTTATTTTCATTTGTTTCCCTTTTTCTTTCTTTCATCGACAATTTCTTCACCATTCATCCTCCTTTCCTTCTTTTATTTTCGCATTTTTTTCATTCATTCCTTTTTTCTTTCTTTTCATCGACAAATTCTTCACCATTCATCCTCCTTTCCTTCTTTTTATTTTCGCATTTATTTTCATTCATTTTTTTTTCTTTTCTTTTCATCGACAAATTTTCTTCACCATTCATCCTCCTTTCCTTCTTTTATTTTCGCATTTATTTTCATTTATTCCTTTTTTTCTTTCTTTTCATCGACAAATTCTTCACCATTCATCCTCCTTTCCTTCTTTTATTTTTCGCATTTATTTTCATTTCATTTTTTTTCTTTCTTTTCATCGACAAATTCTTCACCATTCATCCTCCTTTCCTTCTTTTATTTTCGCATTTATTTTCATTCATTCATTTTTTCTTTCTTTTCATCGACAAATTCTTCACCATTCATCCTCCTTTCCTTTTTTATTTTCGCATTTATTTTCATTCATTTCTTTTTTTTTTCTTTTCATCGACATTCTTCACCATTCATCCTCCTTTCCTTCTTTTTTTTTTCGCATTTATTTTCATTTATTTTCTTTTTCTTTTTTTCATCGACAAATTCTTCACCATTCATCCTCCTTTCCTTCTTTTATTTTTCATTTATTTTCATTCATTCCTTTTTTCTTTCTTTTCATCGACAAATTCTTCACCATTCATCCTCCTTTCCTTCTTTTTATTTTCGCATTTATTTTCATTCATTCCTTTTTTTTTTTCTTTTCATCGACAAATTCTTCACCATTCATCCTTCTTTCCTTCTTTTATTTTCGCATTTATTTTCATTCATTCATTTTTTTTTCTTTTCATCGACCAAATTCTTCACCATTCATCCTCCTTTCCTTCTTTTATTTTCGCATTTATTTTTTATTTTCATTTCATTCATTTTTTCTTTCTTTTCATCGACAAATTCTTCACCATTTTTTCCTCCTTTCCTTCTTTTCTTTTCGCATTTATTTTCATTCATTTTTTTTCTTTCTTTTCATCGACAAATTCTTCACCATTCATCCTCCTTTCCTTCTTTTATTTTCGCATTTATTTTCATTCATTCATTTTTTTCTTTCTTTTCATCGACAAATTCTTCACCATTCATCCTCCTTTTCCTTCTTTTATTTTCGCATTTATTTTCATTCATTCATTTTTTTCTTTCTTTTCAACGACAAATTCTTCACCATTCATCCTTCTTTCCTTCTTTTATTTTCGCATTTATTTTCATTCATTCATTTTTTTTTTCTTTTTTCATTCATTTCATTTTCCTCCTTTCCTTCTTTTATTTTCGCATTTTTTTCATTCATTCATTTTTCTTTCTTTTTCATCGACAAATTCTTCACCATTCATCCTCCTTTTCTTCTTTTATTTTTTCGCATTTATTTTCATTCATTCATTTTTTCTTTCTTTCAACGACAAAATTCTTCACCATTCATCCTCCTTTCCTTCTTTTATTTTCGCATTTATTTTCATTCATTTTTTTTTCTTTCTTTTTCATCAACAAATTCTTCACCATTCATCCTCCTTTTTTTTTTTTTCGCATTTATTTTCATTCATTTTTTTTTTTTCTTTTCATCAACAAATTCTTCACCATTAATTCTCTTTTCCTTCTTTTATTTTCGCATTTATTTTCATTCATTCATTTTTTCTTTCTTTTCATCGACAAATTCTTCACCATTCATCCTTCTTTCCTTCTTTTATTTTCGCATTTATTTTCATTCATTCATTTTTTCTTTCTTTTCATCGACAAATTCTTCACCATTCATCCTCCTTTCCTTCTTTTATTTTCGCATTTATTTTCATTCATTCCTTTTTTTCTTTTCATCGACAAATTCTTCACCATTCATCCTCCTTTCCTTCTTTTTTATTTTCGCATTTATTTTCATTCATTTTTTTTTTTCTTTCTTTTCATCGACAAATTCTTCACCATTCATCCTCCTTTTCCTTCTTTTATTTTCGCATTTATTTTCATTCATTCCTTTTTTTCTTTCTTTTCATCAACAAATTCTTCACCATTCATCCTCCTTTTCCTTCTTTTTATTTTCGCATTTATTTTCATTCATTCATTTTTTCTTTCTTTTCATCGACAAATTCTTCACCATTCATTCTCCTTTCCTTCTTTTATTTTCGCATTTATTTTCATTCATTCCTTTTTCTTTTTTTCATCGACAAATTCATCACCATTCATCCTCCTTTCCTTCTTTTATTTTCGCATTTATTTTCATTCATTCCTTTTTTCTTTCTTTTCATCGACAAATTCTTCACCATTCATCCTCCTTTCCTTCTTTTATTTTCGCATTTATTTTCATTCATTCCTTTTTTCTTTCTTTTCATCGACAAATTCTTCACCATTCATCCTCCTTTCCTTCTTTTTATTTTCGCATTTATTTTCATTCGTTCCTTTTTCTTTCTTTTCATCGACAAATTCTTCACCATTCATCCTCCTTTCCTTCTTTTATTTTCGCATTTATTTTCATTCATTCATTTTTTCTTTCTTTTCATCGACAAATTCTTCACCATTCATCCTCCTTTCCTTCCTTTATTTTCGCATTTATTTTCGCATTTATTTTCATTCATTCATTTTTTCTTTCTTTTCATCGACAAATTCTTCACCATTAATTCTCTTTTCCTTCTTTTATTTTCGCATTTATTTTTCATTCATTTTTTTTCTTTCTTTTCATCGACAAATTCATCACCATTCATCCTCCTTTCCTTCTTTTTTTTTTCGCATTTATTTTCATTCATTCCTTTTTTCTTTCTTTTTCATCGACAAATTCTTCACCCATTCATCCTCATTTCCTTCTTTTTATTTTCGCATTTATTTTCATTCATTTTTTTTTTTCTTTTCATCGACAAATTCTTCACCATTCATCCTCCTTTCCTTCTTTTATTTTCGCATTTATTTTCATTCATTCCTTTTTTCTTTCTTTTCATCGACAAATTCTTCACCATTCATCCTCCTTTCCTTCTTTTATTTTCGCATTTATTTTCATTCATTTCTTTTTTCTTTCTTTTCATCGACAAATTCTTCACCATTCATCCTCCTTTCCTTCCTTTATTTTCGCATTTATTTTCGCATTTATTTTCATTCATTCATTTTTTCTTTCTTTTCATCGACAAATTCTTCACCATTCATCCTCCTTTCCTTCTTTTATTTTCGCATTTATTTTCATTCATTCCTTTTTTCTTTCTTTTCATCGACAAATTCTTCACCATTCATCCTCCTTTCCTTCTTTTATTTTCGCATTTATTTTCATTCATTTTTTTTTTTCTTTCTTTTCATCGACAAATTCTTCACCATTCATCCTTCTTTTTCCTTCTTTTATTTTCGCATTTATTTTCATTCATTCATTTTTCTTTTTTTTTTCATCGACAAATTCTTCACCATTCATCCTCCTTTTCCTTCTTTTATTTTTCGCATTTATTTTCATTCATTCATTTTTTTCTTTCTTTTTCAACGACAAATTCTTCACCATTCATCCTCCTTTCCTTCTTTTTTATTTTCGCATTTATTTTCATTCATTCATTTTTTTTTCTTTTCATCGACAAATTCTTCACCATTCATCCTCCTTTCCTTCTTTTATTTTTTTCGCATTTATTTTCATTCATTCCTTTTTCTTTCTTTTCATCGACAAATTCTTCACCATTCATCCACCTTTTTCTTCTTTTTATTTTCGCATTTATTTTCATTCATTCATTTTTTTTTTCTTTTCATCAACAAATTCTTCACCATTCATTCTCTTTTTTTCCTTCTTTTTTTTTCGCATTTATTTTCATTCATTCATTTTTTCTTTCTTTTCATCGACAAATTCTTCACCATTCATCCTCCTTTCCTTCTTTTATTTTCGCATTTATTTTCATTCATTCCTTTTTTCTTTCTTTTCATCGACAAATTCTTCACCATTCATCCTCCTTTCCTTCTTTTATTTTCGCATTTATTTTCATTCATCCATTTTTTTCTTTTCAACGACAAATTCTTCACCATTCATCCTCCTTTCCTTCTTTTATTTTCGCATTTATTTTCATTCATTCATTTTTTCTTTCTTTTCATCGACAAATTCTTCACCATTCATCCTCCTTTCCTTCTTTTATTTTCGCATTTATTTTCATTCATTCCTTTTTTCTTTCTTTTCATCGACAAATTCTTCACCATTCATCCACCTTTTCTTCTTTTATTTTCGCATTTATTTTCATTCATTCATTTTTTCTTTCTTTTCATCAACAAATTCTTCACCATTAATTCTCTTTTCCTTCTTTTATTTTCGCATTTATTTTCATTCATGCATTTTTTCTTTCTTTTCATCGACAAATTCTTCACCATTCATCCTCCTTTCCTTCTTTTATTTTCGCATTTATTTTCATTCATTCCTTTTTTCTTTCTTTTCATCGACAAATTCTTCACCATTCATCCTCCTTTCCTTCTTTTATTTTCGCATTTATTTTCATTCATTCCTTTTTTCTTTCTTTTCATCGACAATTTCTTCACCATTCAACCTCCTTTCCTTCTTTTATTTTCGCATTTATTTTCATTCGTTCCTTTTTT